ACAGAATTCATATGATGGATTAAACTGCAAAATCATAAAAGGAGGACAGTTGACAAGCTCGTTCCAAGTAAAGACCGGTGTCCGGCAAGGTTGCTTACTCTCACCCTTTCTCTTTTTCCTAGTGATCGACTGGATCATGAAGACGTCAACATCTGAAGGGAAGCACGGGATACATTGGACGTCTAGGATGCAGTTCGACGATCTAGACTTCGAAGCTGATCTAGCTCTTCTATCGCAAACACAACAACAAATGCAGGAGAAGACGAACAGCCTCAGTAGCAGTAGGTCTCAATATACACAAAGGGAAAAGCAAGATTCTCCGATACAACACAGAATGCACTAGTCAAATCACACCTGATGAAGAAGCTTTGGAAGATGTAAAAACCTTCACATATCTGGGCAGCATCATTGATGAACACAGTGGATCTGATGCGGATGTGAAAGCGCGGATCGGTAAAGCAAGAGCAGCATATTTACAACTGAAGAACGTCTCGAACTCAAAACAACCGTCAACCAACACCAAAGTCAGGATTTTCAATACAAATCTCAAAACAGTTCTACTGTATGGGGCGGTAACTTGGAGAACTACGAAAGCCATCATCCAGAAGATACAAGTGTTTATTAACAGTTGTCTACGCAAAATACTTCTGATCTGTTGACCAGACACTATCAGCAACAACCTACTATGGGAGAGAACAAACCAGATACCAGCGGAGGAAGAAATCATGAAGGAGCGATGGAAGTGGATAGGACACACATTGGGGAAAGCACTCAACTGCGTCACAAGACAAGCCCTCACATGGAATCTTGAAGGCCAAAAGAGGAGAGGAAGACCAAAGAACACATTAAAACGGGAAATGGAGATAGACATGAGAAAAATGAACAAGAATTGCATGAAACTAGAAAAGAAGGCCCATGAGAGAATCGGTTGGAGAATTCTGGTCGGCAACCCATGCTTTACTAGGAGTAACAGGCGTAAGTAAGTAACTAATATAATACATAATGAAACATGTTATTTGAAGAGAAATATTACTATACTACTAACTATTGACTTACATAATTATTTACATATTGGATTAATTCATCAGATAATAAGTTAAACTGTACCAAATTATATCCATTCAGATATATAAGAAAATAAATTAAAAGAATAAATAAACTCATATGCCTATTGTAAATCTGATAATAATAATAATAATAATGATCTTCACATATGATCTATTTCTTTATTCTATTTATACTGAAGCTAATCACAATGATCTTTGGAATAGAATGAATCTTTTTTTTGTGACTTAAGGAAAAATAAAACTATAATAAAATATAATTGAATGAATGAATGAGTGAAGTGTAATTTTATAATTAAAATAATGTTGTGTTAACAAGAAAATCGATATAAAATGGATCACTCTTAAGTATACATACTTCAAGTCTTAGATGGAAAATACTAGAATATATATATATAACACAGCATAACAAATTATCTTTGTAGTGCTAATGGTAACTTTACAAGTTTGTTTATTTCAGAATTTTACTGGTTAAGTTTAATAAGGCTACGTTGACGAATTGAAGTCAGATTCTATGTATCATGAATCAATCTAAAGAGAGAATATTCACTCTAATTACAATCTATTTAGTTCATATTATGAAAGCTTTTTAAGCCGCATTGACGGTATTTCTTTATTCCTTTAAATAATAAGAAATAGATGATTGTGAATAAAAATTATTCACGTTATATTCAATCAAGTTTTCATTTATTCTTTCTTCTATAACTTCCATTCATGAAAACAAATAAGTATTCAAGCATTAGTCATTTATTCATATTTTTCACTGTCAATGCTGTAATTTAACTGGAGCATAAGCTTTCTGTTTCATATCTTCTTCAAAAGTGTCAAACACTTTATGTAAGCGTATGTGATGACATTCATCGTTTATAAAATTCTGAATCTAAAGTCTCCGATTATTAGTCAAGTTCAAAGCTCCATTTATGGGGTATAAATAGAATTACTAATGACAAGAGTTATGGTTTTGCTAACAACTGAAATACCTCTTTATTTTATTTATTTTTTTATTTCAACACATACATAATGGTACAAAGAGGCACCAAATACATATGCGCCACACAAATCTCATTCGATATGTGTGAGGGCTGTGATACTGCCCGGGTGCCCAAACCGAAGCAGGTGGTTTTCTGTGGGGGCCACACCCCGAGCCTTCGACCTGAAGGTCTGATCCACAAGGCAGTGGAGCATCGTAAGGAGATGCAGTCCCATGGAAGCCGGTGACCAACAATTGGTTCATACGCCATTTGTTCCCTCAGGATACTGGAGCCCATGTGCACCACTGATTTGGTTTTGAATCCGGTTAAAGCGCCGGACATTCGCTTTTCGTCCTCTCATTTTCGTAAACAACAGTAGTGCCACGAGAAGGCAGTGAGTAAGACTTCCGTGGCAGAGGCTATATACGCGTGGCCGTGTGGGAGCATTTCGAGAGGGAGAGTGGACTCTCCCCACTCTCGGCCGTACCAGGGCATTTGGGGGCGAAATACCTCTTATCGATTATGAATTAATCCGAGAGGATTCTTGAGATGGCAGTGGTAGACATACTGAATTACGAATATTTTAGTCCAATATGAACTTTCAGATTTCAATATTGAAATAATTATTCTTAGTTTGTTCTCAAAATTCTAATCAGTTCATTACACGTTCTGTGAACATTTTCATATAGATGGGTGTTATGCTCGCTGTATTCACCAGTTTTTTTTAATGTCATCTATTCGTAGAGAACCGAGTTCTATCTAAATAGATTAATGTATTACTATCTCATAGATTTCAACTAATACTAACAACTTAACTAATCATCTATTAAAAGGGTTTCATACGAAACTGCTTTTGAACGTCGATAAATAGGCTGTTTCGTTTATATGAAAAAGTACAAACAAGTAAAATAAGCATCATATACTGCGCAGAGGATGAACACTGAAAGTTCACTTTATTAAGAGTCATTAAGAAGTCGTCATCAACCTACTTCAGCTTCAAATATTTGAAATGCTCAACTGTTTCTTTATTAGCTCATTCAAATTTTTGCAGATGCAATCAATCGAACAGTGATCAAGAATATAAAGTTTTGTAGTGACTCGTCTTTATCACGAGAACACGATTGGTTTATTGAAAACAATTATTATTATAACCAATTGTACCAGTGACTGTTTTAATGTGCTTTTTGTTTAACTGTGCTGAAAAGCATCCATTATTCTTACACTTTGATTGTGACTTCGCCAGAATTCGGTTACGTTCTGTAACCAAGCTTGTATCCTGGCACGATCTCGGTATCCTTTCGATACCACGAGATCGCCAGCAAATATATCTCGACTTGGTCCATTAACTGCCTTCTGATATTTCGCTTCCGCGGGATTTTATGGATATCCTGGCACTCGTTCCTTTGTAGCGGTGTTCAAAGTCAATCTCGACTCGACGCCACGCTACAGTTTCGACTAAATCAGTCCACTATATTTGCCCTCAACGGTTTAAATCAATCCTATTCTACCTGGTTATAATGATGCCGATAAAGTTCACGATGACTATCATCTTGCGCAACTCTGTCGTAAAAGGTGCGCAGGGATCGACACTTAAACTGCTTATGGTATGAGCGTATTGTGGGCATATCGTCTATGACGACTTACAGCCGACTTGATTACTTGTTATTCATTGAATGCTTTGGAAGCCGATGGCTTATGGTCTAGGATGATCTTATCTATACCTGTGTGTACTATGAATGGAATGAGTATTGGCCTAGGCCCTTCACACGTACATGTAACGTTTACTTACGAGTGGAAGCACCAATGCCTGTGAATACCATGGATTTATAGAATCAAAACAATACATGTAAGCGAGTAATATTATATGCATTCGCAAAAAATAGTAAACCAATCAATGGAAAGTCATTTGATGATTTATCCCAGTAAGTAGAAAGTGGATATTGTGTGCGAAAAAGAATACTCATATTGTTCAGGTGTATTATTTGACAATTCAGGACAGATCATGACAACACTGACAAATTGTAAAACTAAAGGTATGAAAGTTAGAGAATCAACTGTTCTGTGAAAATAAAGAGACGAATACAAACAACTACTGTCACAGCAAAAAGACGTGGAGAAAGATTAGCAGTTCATCTGTGAATCACTAGTTTATTCAATGAGATGTGAAAGTACGGGCTAAACTGCTACACGAAGATATGAAACAAATTGCTCAAACTTTTTAAAAACGATCCCATTAGTTTAGATAAATGCTGAGTCTTAACAACATGCAACGGATGAATACGTAAATTACCCAGGAAATTGAATAGGACAGTATATATTATTCAGATGATTTTATTTAACTTGAAGAACTTCTCACCGAATGAGAAACCACCGAGGTCTTTTCAGTAAACATGGAGAATGGTGTTCGTAAATTCGGGGAGGACCATGGGTAATTGTGTACAACGTAACGTTGCTAAGTAATGTCATATGGATGAAGCTGACTTAGATATGCTACGTTTATCTCAAGCAGTCAGGATAGCAAAATTTGGAAATAGGTCTTCATGGGCTGTTAAAAACGCTTCTTGTTAAGATCCTAATACCATCTTATTGTCTAAGCTTTGCATGAACAATAATACCTTTGAAACTTGTTGCTTTTTGGGTCCAGCTTGGTCTGATCAATGCGCTTGTTTATAGACTCTTAAGGATACCCATCCTCACAATGTTACAAATAAGATGTTTGAAAATAACATAAATACTGGACACAAGCTGAGATGGCTTGTAATTGTTTGATGCAAACGGTGCGGCCTATTGGTAGTTTAGTTGCTTATTAGTGGACCACTATTATATACGATCACAAACACTTAATACTCTATTTGCTATTTCTGACACTCCAGCTACAACGTAGGGGTACAGAAAGTTTGGTCCGAATACCAAGCCCAGTTGGACAGGATCTAAACTCATTTACGTAATAAACTGAATCCCGACGTGTTGAAAGTAAAAATATATTTACAAAATCTGCGGGAAAAATTCCAAAAATACAACACTAAAACAATGTGAATAGTCAAATCAGTGAAAATGCTTCGGCGGGTAAAAGTCCGGCTTCATGTACTTTTTGAAATGAGTGTAATGCAGAATCTATATCAAATTGGCACTCAGTTAAACACTGTAAAGAATAAGCTTTATTCATTCCAGTTGCAGTGGAAAGCTCATCAACCAATTTTGAACGAACAGCGTCGTCCGGTATACCACCCGCTTCGAAAGTTGATACTAGCGTAGATGTTTTTGGAGTCATAAAATTTGACACAGCCTCTGTGATAACTAGTGAACACTCCTGAAAAATAATAATTCAATATGAATTTTATGGGTAAGTTATATATACAAAAATAGTTAGAGATGAAGAGAAGCTTTTCAATCTCTCTAATGTAAAGTACGATTAATAGGATCTAGTACAGTAGTAAGCAAAAATGCAAGCATGTTTGGGATAGTGTAAAATGTTGCTTCAGGATTGGCTTGCGTCGTCGCCTGGACTAATGATAGGGAGTGAAGTAGTTGAACTCATTGACCGCCTTACTTATCTTCGGAGTCACATCAGTGCTGATCGTCTAGTATCTGACGAAATCTCGGTTGGATTGATGTGAAACACGGCCATTTGAAGAGAGGATATTCGTAGGTTACTAGTATTCGGTCATAGGTGTCTACTAAGCATTGCTCGTGTATCTTGAGATCACGGTGTAGCTAATACCCGAGTTAGGAATAGGATACTAGGTAAGGATGGCAAATCGATTGATGAAGTAGTAAATCTTCATCAACTGAGGTGGTCGGAACGTGTTACATATGCCCATCCACCGCCTACTCCGATGGAAGACGTTTTCTGGTGGAGTAGGTTAGAAGGAAACTAGGGGTGGCAAAACCAAAACATGGCGTCAGTCCGTGAACTTAGTCATGTTAATAGGTGTAGATTTTCTAGTTGTGGTATGCATTGTTGTCTTAACTAATAGTTAGAATTTTTGAATGACATGGCTCAGAATTGTTTGGAATGGAGCAGATGCATCCCTTCCTTGTCTTCGCCATATTCTGCCTTTATTTCAACAATTTATATTTTCTTCACGAGTCGTATCTTCAATGTCTAATATCTACTATTACCACTGATACAGTTTTTACTTTAACTAATCTGGGATTTGGTCCAAGAGTTTCATCTCACTGTGCTAATGCGTATGGCATACGTACAGGTTCTACGTTGTGAATGACGGACTGAGTACAATATTAAAAGGCTGATAAATCTCTGTTTGAAATATCGACATAATATTAAAGTGGTAAGATAAAAGTTCAAAGAACCAAACATCATGTGATGGCTTTAACAGTTACGAAAAATTCTTTATATCTTAGCTACACTGGAGGCTTACCGTAACTGATTAGGCTTACGCTCGCGTGCCACAACTTGGAGATACATTTGTGTGAATAAAGCAAATATTACCCAATTACCCACAACAAATTGAAGCATGTTTCGAACCCACAAGATAACGGTGTTACACTGATACGCTCAGTTTAATTTTGTAAGTAATGATTTTATTGAAGAAAATATATCTCGGCCTCTATATCAAATTGCATTTAGCAGTTTGACTCAAACAGCCAGATATCAATGTTGCAAGCTTGACAAGAGTCAAATGCCTCTGTGTGTCGTGCTTGCGGATTACTAGGATCAAAATAAAATAATAAACCAGCAGAAATGTTTGGATAAAATACCCATAGTATTAGAGACTTGACAATAACGCTCATTTAGATTTGACAAATATCATCTCTAAGTATTGTCTTTCTTTACAGTACCGAGCACTACACCTTGTTAATATCAATTAAATTACGATTATCAAACGGTTAGACTTTCACTAAAAAAATATTAAATAGGTAATAACTACAATCTGAAAAATGAAAGTGTTCGAAATAACACAAACTATTTGCACACTATCTTGTCCCTAAAAATGAAAAAAATACTGTCAAGAAGTTGGGAATTAGCTCCACATATACTCATCTGGGAAAGCAACAGCCAGATAATTTTAGGAAAGAGCTTAATCAAACGAAGTTACAGCCACATGTGAAACTTGACCAATCAAAATTGAGGCATCGGTGTACTTATAAAGCAAGAGGACTAGGATTATGTAGCTCACCTGTAAATATGAACTTGGCAATGGAGTAACGCACCAATCTTCCTGAAGAATTTTACCACTTTGATGCAATATTAGCATTCGACAAACCAAACGGATGGCATAGCTACCATGAGGAGCAATGTTTAGCAGTTGATCAGAAATGCCTTCCAAGTCGCTGGGGCGTGTATCCTGTGGCACCGGTTCAGCTGCAATACATGAGTATCGCACACAAACCAAAGGTAACTAAAAAAATCAGATTTAGTGTATTCACCTACTTCCACCCAAATTACATCCAAATGTGAGTACCTGTCACTTCTCACATGTACAAGGTTGGGTAAACGACAAAGCAAGCCTAGAACCTGATCACCTCCACGACACTCCATTCGCGCTACTGGTGGGGGTGGAATGTTCGCTATCAAGCGATCAGGAGCGCTAGAAGCTGAGCGTGTAACTGATACCAATCTTTGTATGTGTCCCAGTTGATATCCTTTCAATGATTTGAGAAGTTTCCTATCCTGTTTAGGTAAGCTAGGGCCTCTTAATCTTCGAGGCATGGACTCCTCCTTAATAGCGAACCAGGCCCATGATGGAAGGGGGAACCCGCCGGGCAAACTGTTAACAGCGAAACGTTCATAAGTGGCCCAAAGGGGTCGATACTTTGGTCTGTAACTTTTATCAGAACATTTATCCAATGACGACTGACAGACATAAGGAGCTATCTGGAATGTTAGGTATGCAGAAGGGTCATAGAACTCCGATAGTTTTCTTCGTAGCTGTTTGACGTCAAATACATCGATGTAGCTGAAAAGTATAAAACCCGGCAACGTATGTATTAAAGGGTGACTTTACTGATAAGTTTTAACTGAACCCTATTTGTTTAGACAATTAAGGTTTAATTGTAGTTGCGAGTTAATGTGAATAGAAATAAGACAGGCACTGTTAATTACATATTTTGTATTACCATACAACTATTGATTAGGAATAACATGTTATGACAAAGGAATCTAGATTAAGGTCTAAGTTGGTATAAAACAGTAATTAAGCACAATGAAAGTTGTTAACCAAGTCAATCCACAAAACAGTCCGGATACCTGGAAGTATTTTATATGAATTTACACATTGCTACACGACAAATTGACAATAATTTACGTCATGGTTTGCAGATCAACTCTATTGCAGGCACTGAACATGAGGGGTGTCTTAAAGACAGGAAGTGAACATTATTGATGGACACTCCTCGTCTTGTCAACGAATAAAGTGAAACATATCCGAGCCCCTACACGATCACACCACAAGAACCAGCACACACATAGCATTGTAGAGCCCTCGTACATGAGCATATCTAGATGCACCAAAAAGATAGCACAGGTTGCTTATTAAGAAAACACATCACCTACATTAGCCACTGGATCTTAGTGCCATTCAGCTGAGTTAAATAAATCCAAAAGACCTTGTCCAAATAACTCAGCGAAACTATAATCTACGGACGAACCAATCACGTGAAAGATAGCATCCTGGATTTTGGCGCGAATTTCACTCATTCATTCGGAGTTTTGGCGTTATAGATGATGTCAGTACGTGATGAAAACCTTAAATCTAATTTATAAACTTAATCATCAACTGTGTATCATAATTTTAATTCCTCACCCTCATTTGACCCTGGTTATTAGGTAGACACGTCAACCTGACGTCGCTCAAAGGTCGTCCATAAATCATTGTCTCACCTAACTCACCTCTATGACTCCATATCAGTTTAGAACAGGAGAAAGGGAGGACAAGAACAAATAACTATTCTCAAAGTATACTCAACCAAAAAAGTGATAGAACTTAGACACCAATTAATCTACCATATAAGCTCTATCTCATGGCACATTATGAACAACGGGATGTTCATCCACTTAGTTCGAAACAAAGGTTCGTCTCGTTCTAATGTCAGCGTACCATGAGCACAGTAAAATCTCTTACTTGTTTACAAAGACACTTAGGAAATTTAAAATTTCAGGGTTGCTACATGGTTGATGCAACGTTTCTGGAAGGACCTTAGGGAGAACATGGGATTTTGAAGCTAAATATTCGTCACAGATATTGAGGAACTGATTTTTTTCAAATTTCTTTAGCGTCTTCTTGCGATTGCGCCGCTTAATCTTCGAACTAACGTGCTCCACTCGTAGTATGTTGGCATCAGTCAAATTACATTCATCTTCATGTTCGACAAATAACTCATCTGCGAATTCTTTAAAAATGAGCGTGATGACTATACTCTACCCTTGTTTTTGAACCCACGCCGTTTCTTCATGAATCACGCGCTTAATCTTAAGAAATTCCGTAGCTGGCGCTCAATACCCACCATGTATCCAATATCTTTGCGATGACCTAGAATAATTTAGTTGGTTTCTTTTCTCTCATGTTTTAGTTTTGAGGGTCTGTTACACTCAATAAAAAGAATAACAGATTTAGAATCTGGGGGGAATTCAGAGGAAGAACAAGAGAAGAGAAATAGAGAAGCCAACTAATTGACCACATAAATAGACATACATGTAAGAGCACTATATCACCAGATATTAGAGGAGAAAAGGTGGTTTAAGTGGCAGCAATTGCAGGTAAATTGCTAGATATGACATAGGAAGGTCGAAGAAGCGCTACAGTGTCACTCCAATATTGGTAAACTTAGTTGAATGTTGCTCCAAGAGAAAGACGGTGGACTATAACTGCATACATGATTTATCAAATTTATTCTTCAAATCGTTCAGTGAAGGCACCGTAGTCGTACTAGCTGTAGGTTTGATAAGTAGTGGAAAAGTGTAACTTTATCTAAGTGTTCATCCTTCAATGAGTAATCCAGAAGTTGACTCAAGCAATGAAGTGATTTGACACAAAGCAACTACTTTCATTTTAACACAGTAGAATGCTTAAGTGCCGCGTGACACCAACAGATGGCCTCTTATCCTTCTGTAGCATAGAGAGAACAAATCCTAGATAGGGAGGTTGATCCTCATTGGATCAGCCCCTTAATATAATATACGTTGTCTTTGTGACGAACCAGGACAAAGTATTGTAATGTTCATTACTCAGTAGGTTTGTGGGATTTTCGGCGAAACATTGATATTCGTAAGTAAACGATGGGGGAAGCCTACAAAAGTATTGCTTTAGTTGACTGCTTAACGTTTAGGTCTTGAACTAAGACTCCAGATTTTTAATGACATTCATAGGGTTTTGAGTCGGATCTAAGTAGATGTCGGAGAAACTCAAAATAATTTGAAGCGTTGTAGTATACATTGGTTCCTAACAACATGACCCTTGAAAATGAACAAATAATTACGGAGGAGATCCACATTCAGCATGCAACACTCGGAGCACGTCAACAATGACGAACGCGGGAAGAATCGGTCGGTAAAACATGGCTCAGCCTTGTAGGCGTGGTCATCCATGTAACAAATCCCTATTCACATTAAAATATATTATCTGTCCCCAACACAAATGTGTTCTTTACAGATGCTAGACATCGTATTGCTGATTGATACGTAGGATGAGTCAAAATAGACAATGATGTGACTTCCACGTACGATCTTATAGACTAGGTATTGACGTTATGAAATATCTAAAATTCCTGGATTAGGTGTATTACGATAGCAACAAAGATAAATGTGATAATACTGAACAAGGCCATAATTCCATAGCAATACTTCGCCCCATGTTATTTCCAAAAGGACAATGTAGATGGGGTAAGAATGTGCCACACTTAGAGAAATAATATACAATCAGCGCTTAAGTGTCAAACCCTCCTTTGAAATCCAGTCTTGAAAGGTAAGCCTCCAAACTGCTCATCGTTTTGATCAGACAGGCGGAGAAGGTTTCAAGTGTACTCGTCTCAATTCCGACTAAACGCATCGATCACGTCCTTTTATCGTTTAATATCTCAAGAAATCAGTCCCCTTTCGCACCAGCCTCGCATGAAAACTAACTCAAAACAAATTACAACGATGTAGAAACTGGCCTCTAAGAATGTACGTTTCTGCAAAAATACCCTCATCAACATTGAGAAATGGTGTGGCTTGCTCAACCACATCCTCCGCTAGTCGATCAATAGGCATAGACCTGTTCAGTGGCTGTAAACCAAGCCCCCAACATCTTCCTGCTGTTTTAGCCTTACATACGCAAGGTTATAAAGATTATTCTTGGATTTAGAAACGAATGGAATTTCCGCAGTAAAATCAGATACTGGTCATCTTGCAATAAGTTGCTTCAAAGGTCGTGCCCCACAAACGAAATGGATAATAATAATCTATCAGGATCGTTTAGTGGAATCCATGCAAAGCAACAATGAGCTATCCATAACTTTGACAACGATGAAGTACGTATCACAACAGACATATTCCTTAACCACACACATGTTATACAAGTTGCTAGCTAAAATTTCTGTTTCTTCACTCCCGTCCAGATATATATCTACCAGTGGAAGGCTACTCCAACCTGTTCCAAATCGACTAAAACGTTGTTTAGTTTGAGTGATACCGAATCAAGAGAACCTTGAGGTGCTTGAACCCATGTGGATCAGCAGGTTTGAATGAGATTCACTTCGGAGTACTAAGGAAATATGCAGAACCGCTTAAAATGACCCTCAACACTATCCACACATATTTAATTGCAGGAAATAGTACCATAGCTTCATATGTCAAAAATGATGTACGAACGTGATAACAAAATGGAAGCTCCGAATTACAAGACCATTTCCTTGTTCAATGCATGTTGGTCCCAACATAGATTAACTTTAGATAAATCATGTAACCCGGAAGCCCTTGAAATAAATGAAACCTACTAGACACAAGTTAGAAAGAAGAGAATTGATATAGTTCTCATGAACAAAAAAGATTACCTGGGTAAAATGGAAACAATGCTTAGCGATTCTAGCAAATTTCAGAAAATTACTAGTAATTGTGACATCAATAGTAAAGTAGAAAGACAATTGGCCAATTTCCTTAAAGATCTAACGAAAAAGGGAATAATTACTACTGAGATTTACGATTCAATTAAGCCGACTGGATCATTTACACCACGATTGTATGGTTTGTTTAAAGTACATAAATCGGGTCTTCCTCTACGCCCAGTTCTAGATATGTAAAATTCTCCTTACCACAAAATCGCAAAGTGGCTAGTACGAACCCTAGAACCTTTACACAAATCAGTTGTTAGAAATAGTGTAAAAGATGTCTTCAACTTCATCTCCAAAGTAGAAAATATTAATGTCAGCATGAAAAATATGATCTCATTGGATGTAGAATCTTTGTTCACCAACGTACCACTTATAGAGACTATTGATTTTATATGCAAGCAAATATCAAAGAAACAAATCAACATTGGCCTGCCTAACGATAGCCTAAGGGAACTGCTCCTAAGATGCACTCTGAATGTACATTTTGTCTTCAACAATACTTACTATAGACAAATAGACGGGATAGCCATGGGCTCGCCTCTAGGCCCGATTTTAGCTGACCTCTTCCTAGCAAAGCTAGAAAACGGACCTCTCAATGAGACTATTAAGAAACTGGATTTATATTGCCGATACATTGACGACACATTCATTATCGTAGACCAAAACACTAGTAAAGAGGAACTCCTAGACCAATTCAACAGTGTTCACCCAGCGATCACCTTCACTGGTGAAAGCGAGCATGATAAGAAGATGAGCTTCCTTGACGTCACGCTAAGCAGACGAAGTGACGGCACATTAAGTAGAAGCGTGTATAGAAGAAACCCCTCTTCATGCCAATATACTCACTTCTGCAGTTTCACACCCATCCGGTACAAGAGAAATTTGGTCAGATGTCTCACGAGCAGAGCAAAAAAGATCTGTACAGTAGACACTCTAAGTCAGGAGCTTGAATTTCTCAACAACTCACTGACCGAGATCGGCTACCCCAGCGCGTTCATCAAGAAATACATGCAGGATATTATAAAGAAGTCGGAGATTTCGACTGTTCGTAAGAAACCTTTATACATGAAAGTGCAATTCAACGGGGATGTGGCTAGTGACACTCTGAAATATAGGTTAACCAAAGTAATCACCAAGACATTCTACGCAGCCAATCTTGCGTTGACCTTCTCTTGTCGACCAGCGATGTCTACTCAAACGAAGGATAAGTTACCTGAGTTGGCCTCTTCCATGTGCATTTACAAATTCAGCTGCTCCTGTGGAGATAGCTATATAGGGCGTACTACCAGGCAACTTAACCAACGAATGAGTGAACATCTACCAACTTGGTACATAAAGGGTCAGAGAAAAACTATTCGCAGTTCTATACTAGCACATCTTATTGATAGCGGTCATGCAGTAGAGAAATCGAAATCATTTCGAGTTATCTATCGTATACCTCCATCATTTCCCGACGGAGTCCGTTCCCGTCTCCTATATATAGCTGAAGCCATTGGAATTCGTACATATAACCCCAATCTATGTGTACAGAAGAAATACGTGACTCCCCTATCCCTTCCATGGCCAGTTATAATTTAACTAACAATTTTTTTTAATATTTTTTTTATAAATTTTATTATTAACATTATTTATTTTATTCTATCTGTGTTATTGTTAACCTTATTTCCACATCCATTATTTGTTTGTCATTATCCGCCTCTTTTTATTCTTCACTATCTAATTATTTACACACATCTTATTACGTAATGATTTTTAAGGTTTTGTGATTACTATTCCTTGTCTATTTACCCATGTTTATTTGACCTTCTATTTCCAACGATTAACTATTGATAAGAGTTTTGTTATTGTAGTTTATTATTCTTACCACTATCTGTTCACCTGTCTTCGTACTATCAACTTGTACTTTTACCTATTTTATGTGTAGTGACTTATTCTATTTCATTGTGATGATTGACCCATATTGCCTTGATTGGTTTAAAAAAAAATTTTCGTATAAATATTCATGTATATTAGAGTAAAGCCTGGTGACGATCTAATTGAAAACAATTGTTCGCTTATATGTGTTGTTCTAATTTTCACAATGGGAATCTTTAATATTCTAAAATTGATATTGCATCCTAGTCATGACGAAAATGAGTCACACACAAGACGATTTTCACTGATGATGTCCGAGAAGATGTGCGAAAAGAATATTACAGGGTGTGAGTCTCATAGACTCAAGATAACCTAAGGATTCTTAAAGAAGGATAATAGGATTGTGATGAATATCATCTAGAGCTATGCACCCATAGATTATGGCAGTGGAGACGATAAAGACATGTTTCGTGACAGGCGATCGTAGAGAAATTTCTATGAAAGAGCCTGGCCATCCTTACAAGGACCTAAACGTCTGGGTCGCAATCGACAATACCAGAT